GTAATGATAATAATATAATGCTGCATTAGGTGAGAAAAATAGCAGGTGGTGCAAAATAATTGTGCAAAGAGTTTACACAAGAAGTCCCCTGTCTGCAGCACATCTTCTGTTTCTGGTGGTGAGCGAAGCTCAGTATAGTTGCATTGAGCAAGCTCCTTGCACTCATGTTTCGACCCCCCTATTTACTTTCAATCAGCGGCAAGAAAAAGACCCACAGAAAAATCATATGATCGATATAAAATCAATATAATTTGAAGGTACTGTTATAATCTATGATAGCTGTGTGAGAAATGGCATTTTCTTCTCTGCAGCTCACGTTTCTTACTGAAAAAAGTAATGGCCCACTGTGTCCACTTTACAAATGTATAGGGGCAGATTTGACAACATTTATACTTCATTGCAGGACTTTTCCAAAATCTTTGTTTTCGTGTTTATTCTTCAGTCAAAGCAATTGGACTGAGCCAGACTAGAAAGCAGGAGACGGTGAGTTCGAGTCCTGCCTCTGGCATGGAAGCCGGCTGAGTGGCTTTGGGCCAGTCCCTCTCTCTCAGCCCAACCAACCTCACAGGGTTGTTGCTGTGAGGAAGGAGTATTAGGTGTGTAGCTGCCCTGAGTTATTTATAAAAATATTAAAAGCAGGATAAAAAATGGAAGGAAAATAAGTGAGTCACTGATCCCATGCGTTTTCATTCCCAGTCGGGAGGGAAGAGCTGAGATGGCAAGGAGTGCACACACGTTGTCTACGTGCTCTTAAAATCCTTTTTTATTTTACCTTATTTTACCTTGCCTTTATTTTTATATTTTATCATTATTTTTTTACTGAAGCCTGAAAAGACTTTTTTAAAGAATCCACATTACTGTCTGTTGTTAAAGAGTCAAATAGTCACCCACTGCTCCAGTTTATTTTCCTAGTGAACACTTTTAAACACTTTGTGGAACAAGAAAAAGAATGGAGAAAAGAAGTGACGCAGAATGAATTTGGGCACAACCATCCCTTGAAAGCCTTCAAAGCGTCCAAAAATTGCCGGCTATTCAGCCAAGAAGAACAACATACCAGTAAGTAAATCTAATAATAACAGTGATGGTAGAAACTGTGCTCATGTGAACCGACAGGATACCTTGGAGTGGGATTTGCAAACAGAGACTGAGCAACAACAACTGTTAGATCTCTCTACCTCTCTTCAAGAAAATGGCAAAAATGCTTTTGCAACACACTCTTCTCCTGAGGCCCTGATGACTTTAGCTCCCGTTAGGGAGGGATGGGTCAAGAATCTCATCAACGGGTGCGCCCATGACTTTTTATCTTGACAATGTCTTAACAGCACAGATTTTATTAAGATTCAGCTGTTCCCAAATCTTCGACTATTTAACAACAATAAACAGCAACGTGGATTCTTTAATGAAGTCTTTTGAGGCTTTTCCTCAGAAACCATTAGACCAACTGACTGCCCTTATGGAGGAACAAACTAATGCCAGGACAGAGGAGCCTGAGTTCAATAGCAAAAAACAGTTGGACTCCAACTGTGACACCAAAAGGAGAGAGGACTCCCCATTACTGTGCACTGAGAAGAGGGAGAAGGGAATTGGGAATACTTGAATCCTTCAGACAAATCAGGTCGCCCAACATATATATCTTAATAGAGCTGCAGGGGTCGTTGGGATATAAAAAGAGCTATTGCTCTATCCTTAAGTCAACTCCTCCATTGCCAACTCCATCGGATAGACTTACAGGGAGCAGAATGGCTACCCACTAAAAGAGGAAGTAAAAGAGTCTTGCTGATATTTAAATGTTCTACCATACCTGGTATGCTGCTTAAAATGAAACCTTTTCTCGGTACATTTCAAATACGCCCATTACGTGTGTTTCAGGAAAATAAAATATGCTCACTTTTCCACCCAACTATGCAAGTTGAAGTCTCCTTCTACGTTCTAGGAATGATAAGCTGCCCACTGCAAATAACCTTGAGAGTTTGATCTTGGCAAAAAGCCATGTGATGGCAGAAAGGTTTCTGAGGAAGCTTTAGAAGCACAGCTGATTCATTCTTTTGGCGCACTTCCAAGTAGCGAGCCAGATAAACTATTGAGAAAACAACAGACACTGTTAACAACATGTATAGCAGCAGAACCTCTGATTGAGTTAGTGGCAATGTCTCCTAAAAAGGGTTGCAAGCAACAATAATAACGATCTACAGACACCTCTGATACATTTTGATCTAACTGAGGATTTTCAATAGAGCAGTAACCAGAAGGAAGGCTACCTGGCAATTCTAACAGAGGATGATGGATTGAACTGCAGCACCCAATCAATGACTGTATCTCCCCTGATGTAAGACCTGGTTCATGGCATACCAATGCTTTGCTTGTCTCTCAGGCCACAGTTCTACCAAATGGACTGCAGGCTACAGGGACCTCTCAGAAGAAAATTGTAAACCCTTTGGATGAACCCCCTGCCATGAACAATTTAGCAACACCTCTATCCCAGCAAACTCAATCAAATAATGGAGACAGCCAGATCCTCAGGCACATTGAACTTACAATAGGTGACCCTAACACCAGTGCATTGGAGTGTCAGGTGAAGACTCACATGGACACCTGACAAAATACTACAACAAAAGGAAGTCAACATGGTGAAGAATCTCATACTCCTAGTAAGCTACTTCGCTATGGAAAATCTCCATGAAAAATTCAAGTCGCTAATCAGTGTGTAGACCTGAATACCTCAGGTTCCCTTGATCTCATATCTGAAGATGAATGACTGAACAAGATGCATTACAACCCACCCCCAGTTAGTCTCTCTTACCACTTGCCTATAGATATGATTAATGATACAACTATTTGTATATTAACTTGGAATCTAGCAGGATGGAAGAACTATGTGATTTATCTGAATTTCTGTCAAATTTTGCTCTGATTGCAGTACAAGAGACGTGGTTAACATCTGGAGATGAACAGATTTCAATACCTGGCTTTAAGTCCTGGATCACCCCAGCATGGAAAGTAAAAGAGAAAGGCTGGGTGATACGGGGTTTGGCCATATTGATCAAGGAAGAACTAGGGTGGAAGGGCATAGATCAGGAGGCATAGTTACAACAAGGGGGCCAAACAAGCATGTATACTGGCTCCCATCTTGTTTAACCTCTGAATTAATGATATTCCAAAGTCCCTTTATTCAACCAATATGCATATGCCTGAAGTTAAAAATAAACAAATATTCTGCTTTATGCAGATGACATGGTATTGATGTCATACACCCAGGTAGGGATGAGAAGACTGCTGGGTAGGTTTAGTTGATACTGTTCACTCAACTACCTGAACATCAATAAGTCTAAGACCAAGGTAGTTGTTTTCAGGAGGAGGTGGACTAGCTATAACTGGAGCCTGGATAGGGAGCATATAGATCAGGTTAAATCCTATTTATACCTAGGACTTGTTTTTACAGAAACAGGCTCCTGGCTCCCACATTGTAAGAGGAGGTCTTTAAGGGCTACGGCCGGTGCCAACACCATAAGGCAACTCACCAACCACAGCTACCCAGGTTCTCTAATTCCAATCATAAAGGTATACAACAGCAAAATAGTCCCAATGATTACATATGGCGCAGAAGTATGGTCTCCTTACTGGAACAGATACAGTCCACTTTCTTGAAATGCATCTTGGGAGTGGACAAATCTACTCCAGCTCCAGCAGTAAGGACAGAGTTGGGTATACCCCCTGTGCAAAGCCATTTAGTAATTAAAGCACTCAATTATTGGCTGAAGATCTTATCTATGGGCCCAGATAGACTACCCAAGCTCTGTTTGAAGAGCAGTTGTATAATATGCCTTCTTGTGCTTGGGTTGTCCAACTCTCAAATGCCATATCGCAAAATGGATTGTCCATCCAATTCCCAGTCCAATCAGATCTGAAGGCCAAGAAAAGTTTCAAACCAAGGGTCATGGATGTGGCTGCCCAAGAGGATATTGCATCCCCTTAAACATGTTAAGTCCTTGAAGTGGCTGGCTCAGCACAAATCAGCCTCCCAGCTAGAAAAGAACAGTATTTAACAGCTTATATGCCCCAACATCTTAGAAGAGCTTTTTCAAGAGCTTGTTTTGAACAAGTAGACTCCATGGTAAGATATGGGAGGTTCCATGGAGTTCCATTTGAAGAGAGACTGTGTATCTATGGTGCACCAGCTACTGAAGACATTGCACATATCCTCTTTGATTGCAAATTATATCCAACAGAACGGACTGTTTGCTTAGATTCCTAGTTAAGAACTAAAAAATACTGGGATATCCAGGAGAAATTGTCTTACTTTTACAGGGGATGAACTTGCATATCACTAGTAAGACTGCACTCTTTATTTCAAAGGTGATTTTGAAGAGGACAGATTATTTAGATCAGATTGGGGTTAACTGCAAGGGTGATGACTTATTATGAATTTGTTCTACTGTTTTCTTTGTATTTACTTGTATACTTGTATTGTTTTTATACTTTTGATATGGTCATATGACTAAATCAGTAAAGTTTCTGTTCTGTTCAGTTCATTCCCAGTCTTTTGAGATGACCATCATGGCTATTCCGTTAATAAATGGTGGCCTATTTGATCAAACACTGTCTGACATCTTCATTTCTGGGAACAGATTACCCTTCAACATTTCTGCAGGTGGGTGTGGTCAGTGAGTTTAAGTGAACAATGCTATTGTATCTGAACATTTTTGGCCCTCAAAGCCTGCAGTTCTTTGGAAATTGTAGAATGTGATAAGACAGGAAACACACCATACATTTTGGCAGAGGAATGAAGTCAGTAAGTCCACAAAAACAATTTTGTGATGTTTGGCAAACTACAACCTGAAGTTCTTTGGAAAATGAAGATCTTGATAGCTATTACTTATTAACAAGGAGTAAAGAGGCCTCAAGATCTGATTGGTTCCTAGAGCCTCTAAGGTTTGATTTGCATTTTCTGGGATTGAATATAAAACGATGGTTGCTCATCTGTATAACTGAGAGCAGCATCAGACATCAACCCAAGAGTTGCCAATCATGGCTCAAAGATCAGGTGACCACAAGGTGAGTGTTGTCTCAACATTTCAGCTTTTCCTTCTAGGTTTTCTTTAGCAGATTCAGAGTTTGAAAATGAAATGAGTTGAGAAACTGCCTCTTCCTGATCATGTCTGCCCGTCTTGTCAGGTCCAGCAGAAGAGGTATGTTGCAGGTCTCATCTGTTAAGGAGTTACATCTGGCAGGACCCAGGAGATGGACCTTTTCTGCCATGGTGTCCACCCTGTGGAGCATCATCCCCCCCCCCCCAAAGTTGAGATTAGCCCCATCCCTGTTAGCCTTTTGGAAGGCTCTGAAAATGTAATAAAGGGTCAATATTGCTTCCATTCCAATACCCAACTGACATTTACAATCAAGCCCAATGGTTTTACTTAAAATTAGAAAAATTATAACCGTAATAAGAGTGACATAAACTGCATATTTTCCTGGGAAAATAACCCCTAAGTCTTTAATAGCTTCTGAACAATATATAAATCTTTTCCCCACCCCCTACAGCCTCTGGAAACTTCTTACGCAAATTTATACTGGGCTCAGAATAGATAACATAGAACGGTACCAAGTCTACCCATTTACATGATGGTTTTTGATAATCATCGACAAAATAAAAACTGGTCAAATTACTGGTGAAACATGGCATAAGGCCTGATTGCTTGAGGGACCACCTGTCTCCCATAGTATTGGCCCGACTGGATTGATCTGGCAGGGTTGGTGTGCTCCGGGTTCTATTGATTAAACCAGTTCTCAAACTCAACAACTTTAAGAGATGTGGACTTCAGCTTCAATTCATTCTTTCTGTTCCCTTCTGGGCTTGTCTCCTTTGCCCAGAAGGTCTTCTGTCTTGTGCTGTTTTTGTGTGGGTGGTTTTTTTCCTATTGTTTTTGTTTTTAAATGTTTTAATGATTGCAAGCCACCCAGAGTCACTGCGAGTTAGGAGGCAATTAAATTTAATAAATTATTATGATTGGTCGCACAGTCAGCCAGATGTTTAGACTGGATCTGGCATTTTTATCCACCTAGTGAGTCCTTCCCAAGGACCTGGTATAGGCAGATGTTGTTGTTTGATTGTGTTAAAGG